TAAAAATAATTGAAAACCAATGTATTAATAAAGCTTATCTTTATCTCAATAGTAATTTTTATAACAAAATGCTCAAACAGATTTCCGTTTTGCTGAATACATTTTTCAGCTCGACGTCGAATTGCCCGAGATTAACTCAAAAATTCCAAATTATTTTGTGTGATTTGATTTTCAGCCAAGTAAATGAATCTTCTGTTGTAATTCCTCTAAAGGATTTATTTCTGTAGCATAAACTACAGCCCTCATCCTACCCCACAGAAAGTAATCTAGAGGATTTAGGTCTAGAGACCGAGGTGGCCATGGAATGGCCTCTACCAGGAGAATGATCGTTTAACCAATTTATGACATTATGGCTAAAGTGAGGTGGTGCCCCATCTTGTTGATAGTGTGATGTTAAGCGTACGTTTAACGGTGTATCATCCAATCGTTCTCTTACATCATTTTGCAGAAAGTTTAAGTATCCTTCTGGATTCAGACAAACGGGAAACTGAATTGGTCCAAGTAGCTGGTCCCCTAAAATTCCTGTTCACGCATTTATTGCAAATCTATTTTGAAAATTTGTATTTGTATTTTACACAAAAATGGAACATTCTACCAACATGAACCAAGAGTACCTTTTTTTAAAAAAAAACTGAAATTTCATACATTTCAGTCAAAAGTCAAAAAAGTCAACGCATAAAAAAATTATAGTAAATTTTAACCCCTCCCTTCCACTGTTCGAACGTATGTCATGAAAATTTGTAAATTTTGTTTTAGTAGCGGTTTGAGCACGTAAGAGTTAAGCTAGTTACCAAATTTTATAAATTTATCTCACCTGGTTTTGGAGTTATTTAGAAAAAAACATCATCAGAGTGGTCCCTTTAAGTGGCTATAACTTCCTTAGGAAGAATTCTTGGACCCATGTTTATATAAAGAAAAAGTAATCTTTTTCGACATAGAACACCCCGTAGAAATATTGCCCCATAATTTCGTGACACCATGTATTAATTTCAAAATCTAATATCACTAAAAATGTAAGTAATTTAAATATATATGAAAATTTTCCATCTTCCATACTAACGTCACGTTCGGAATATAAACCGTGTGTTTTTATTAACGTTTTTTGAGCTCCTACAGTTCGAGAGATTAAAATTGGGACAATAGTGAAGTCGGCAGTTCTCAACAGCATTTTATTATAAAAATCATGTATATTTATTTTACATTAGACCTTTCTGTTAATTACATGTTCCACACAGTGGACAATATTGCTGTTTAAAATTAATTATCACGTTTAACATATAACTTATGTTTCACTTTGTTTTCACATAATTACAATTGGTGTCACACTTGTTACTCTTACATGCCTCCATTTTTGACAATACTTGGCACGACGAACAAAGGGTGACTATCAACACCTGTGACCTTTCTTTGTGCATCAACTCAGGTCTTCTCAATGACTCCCAAGGCCTATTAGCAAAACATGCCGGTACAATTGCATTTATGAACTTTTATGTTTCAAAATGTGATATTTTATACCACTCTTGTATTTGGATTTATAATCGCAGTTGTTACACCTGTACATTTGAACCTGTGAAGGATCTTTATGTCTCAGTTGGTGCTGTTTGATACAACGCTTGTATTTAGTTTCGTAATCACAGTCTTTACACCTGTACATTTGAACCTGCGAAGGATCTTTATGTTTCAGTTGATGTTTTTTGACAAAATATTTGTATTTAGTTTCAAAATCGCAGTCTTTACACCTGTACATTTGAACCTGCAAAGGATCTTTATGTTTCAGTTGGTGTCGTTTGATGTAACTAATGTATTTAGTTTCATAATCGCAGTCTTTGCACCTGTGTATTTGAACCTGCGAAGGATCTTTATGGTTCAGTTGGTGATGTTTGATACTTCTCCTGTATTTAGTTTCGAAACGGCAGTCCTTACATCTGTACATTTGAACCCGCGAAGAATCTTTATGTTTCAACTGGTGCTGGTTGATATTACTTTTTACTTTAGTTTCGTAATCACAATCATTACACTTGTACATTTCAACCTGAGAAGGATCTTTATGTTTCAGTTGGTGTCGTTTGATGGAAGAAATGTATTTAGTTTCATAATCACAGTTTTTACACCTGTGTATTTGAACCTGCGAAGGATCTTTATGTTTCAGTTGGTGTAGTTTTATATGACTATTGTATTTACTTTCGTAATCGCAGTCTTTACACCTATATATCCGACCTGTATATTGCGAAGGAGTTTTATGTGTCAGTTGGTGTCGATTGATGTATCTCTTGTGTTTAGTTTCATATGTGCAGCTGTTACACCTGTACATTTCAAACTGTGAAGGATCTTTATGTTTCAGTTGGTGATTTTTGATATTGCCCTTTAATTTAGTTTTGTAATCGTAGTCTTTACACCTGTACATTCGAACCTGCGAAGGATCTTTATGTTTCAGTTGGTGCCTTTTGAGAACGTAACTGTATTTAGTTTCAAATTCGCAGTCGTTACACTTGTACATTTGAACCTGCGAAGGATCTTTATGTTTTAGTTGGTGTTTTTTGATATTACTTTTGTATTTAGTTTCGTAATTGCAGTCGTTACACCTGTACATTTGAACCTTCGAAAGGTCTTTATGCTTCAACAAATGCTTCCCAAATAATTTCTTATTTTGAATTTCATACTCACACGATTCACATTTATATGCTTTCAAATCGTTCTCATGTCCCGCACAGTGTGCCGTAAAACAGATCTTACTTCCAGTTTCGTAAATACATTCATTACATTTGCATAATACTTTGCGCTTCTGCTTGGTTTTCATTTCTGATCCATTCTCACGTTTACAACCATCCTCTTCTTCATCTTTACAGACAGTCTCTTGTAATGGTACGATATCAAAGCTCTGCAGTGGCGTGTTGCTGAAAAAATTGCACATACAGGGTATTTTTAAAAAATCAAGTTTTAATTTTTATGAGTTATAGGTGACACATGCTAAAATGTTGCGTTCTACAGAAAATGACAATAAATGGGCATATTTACATTTGAAATTAATGAGATGTGATTAACTGATATGTGATACTATATTTGTTGTACCATTATACCGAAACAGTTCAGTGCTTGCTGTCATTTCTATCATTGTCAATCTTAGACTTGATTGATTTATGTGTTATTAAAAAGAATAATAACTTCCAAAGGTTTTCACAAACAGACAGTCATATATAAGTTTATGAAATCCACAAGGCATTATTTAATTTTTATTATAATAAAACTATTTTTGTGCTATTCAAATAGTGTAATAACAAAGTATAAAGCTGGAGTAAGACAAGGAATTTCGATTGACATTTTATTAATAGAATATGCAGGTCAAACAGTTGTGATATTTTGGTAAGGCTGTAGCAAACAGCGACCAGGGCATAAGACCCGAAAAAACCATCGTACTTTAAATCTATTGGATGTAGTAGTCATTTAAATTGTCTCACACAACAAAATTCAAATATTAAGTAATACCACAATAAGAATACTTGTCAATTTGCAAATATTAAAATCTAATGATTGTCCTGTTTCTCTTTACAAGGTTGCCATTGACCATAATAGAATCAACAATAGTACTAGTAACATAATTTTAATTTGAATGATGAAAGCGATTCAGATCTTTGATAATTAATTTAGTTAATCAACAATGTTATTTGCGAGATACTATCTATAAAGTCTCACAATAACTCCATCAATAAAAAGTCACGATACGGATAATTTAAGTAGAATCTACAATGGCATTATTAATAAATTTATTAAAATGTAAATAAATAATAACACCCAGAATATCACCTTAAAAGATGATACTGCTACATCAATTACGTAAGTAATATTTTCCATTTTATCTGTTATGTGCGATTGTTTTGTCAGTACGTAGTAGGTCCAAATATAATTCAATTATTATTTTCTAATATTGTTTGTATGTATGTACAACATGGGTATGTGTCTTTATGCTGTTGGTATTGTCATGCTATTGCCTGATGTATAATTATTTATTATTTATCATTATTATGATCATCCGCCTGTAAAATATTTTCCAAATTATCCATATTTTGTGTGACATTTTAGGCTATTGTTTTTTCTCTGCAAGCTGGCAGAAATTCCAGATTTTGTCGGAGGTCCGATACATGAGGAGCAATCGAAGTTACTATCGGCAAATATATATGAATTTTCTGTATCCCCTGATACCAAAAAATTTTTTCTAAGAAAACTCATTGAAGGAAATAAAATGTGGATTGTAGTAGTTTTTTTAGTATTCATCTTTGTCAAAAGGTATGAAACAACAAAAAATACAAAATACTTCTTTGAATGTGTTTTTGTATTAATTATATTTAGCTAAATCATTTCCAGTTTTTATTTTGAATAACTATTTATTACTAGCTGTTATTGCTCTGGTATACTCGATATCAGCTAGGGCATGTAGCTCATAAAATAGTCATTTCCTGCAATATCAACAGTTAAGATGCTTTGGCATCCCTAGATTTCTGGTATCGTAGAATATTGTTTGACTTCATTTGATAAGAATTTTTAGATGTTTTTTTAATTTGAATCAAGTCAATTACCTTAAAGTAGCGTAAACATTAATTTTCCCTAAGAAGGATTTAAAGAGTATAAATCAGGCTAAACTGGTTTTTCTTCTTGCAATCCGCTTACATAATCACTAATCGTTTCGTAACTTCGTGAGAAATTTCTATTTCTGGCCAGACAAACAAAATTTGAAGGAATAAAATCTAGTATAGCATTCTTTGTACCATATCTGATTCAAAGTCATAATGATAGTTTTACAATGATTTTAAATTTTTTTCCACTAACTTTTAATGATATGATAAAAATTTGTACAGTATACAGTTTATAACCGACAAAATCCCATAATTTGTTACAATTAATTTATCATCAGATGGTATGGTACATTTTTAATCATATAAATCACGACGGTGTCAGGACGACGAGCTGCCATTTTTTAAATTAATGTTAGAACAGTCTTATCTTACCTCCTTTCATCTTCCGATTTTATGTCGATACTTTCGGCTTTGATTGACATTTTCATCTCGTTAATATTGAATTCCTTGTCCAAGTTTTCAGTCTTAATGAATAAATCAAGTGGGGACGTATCTATTGGATGTTTTGCGGCCGAAGATTCAAAAGTATTATTAATTTGTTCCTCTACCTCTAAGCAATCTTTAAGGAAACTGTTGTGAGTACACAGAGAATCCAAGCATGGCTTACATGCAACGGGATCTTTGACGATGCTTATAATCTGCAAAGTATAGTTTTTTAAAGAGAAAAAGTATTTAATATCATTGATACCATTTCAGGAGCCAATTTCTCAATAGCTTCAAGTTCCTCTTCACGTATGCACCTAAACTCCCTTTCTACTGGGTGCAGACACAATCGACATATTTTCTGACTGCAAACTAATCCACTTTTCTTTTCCTGCATGTATACTTCTCTTAAGTCGAGCTGTAATGCTTTCTCGCTATCCGCATAAAGCATAATTGTGTTATCGGTATTCAGACATGTCGATTTAAATTCTGACGCAGCATTTAATTTTCTTCTGCAAACGTTACATATAACCTCTTTGCTCCCGCTATCAATTTTCTGAAAAATATGCAACTTTAACCAAAAAGAAAATAACTGTGGCGTAAAATAACAATTAAACACTAAAAGGTGCCTTATGGTTGGTTTATAAAAAAGTATTAGTCCTAACTTAGTCTTAGTCTTAGTATTAATCTTTACACTAATCTTAGTATTAGTCCTAAGAATAGGTACACGTTTATAAAAACAATGTGGTCCTAATTTTATTAAGATTAACCAATGAGCGATTCGACTACGCGCATGGCTAGTAATATCACAGCATAATACTTGTTTATTATTCTGTGGTAATGTTCTTTTATTTGTTTTGTTGGTGAGTGAAAAGAAAAATATAACCTATTACTATGGTAATGGCGTAATGGCGACCACTAGACAAAGACAGGAGACCACTATACTACGAAATGCAATACTTGTGCATGCGCACTTCTCAGATCTTAGTCTTAATCCTAGAAAAATTAAAAGATGCGAACTTTCAAGGTCATGTCTTAAGACCTCCTTACGACTAGGGATTTTTATAAACCGATACATTACATTCTGTACATTTAACTTTTTAGGACTAAGATTAAGGTTAAGTTACGGCTAAGTTAGGACTAATACTTTTTTATAAACCAACCATTACACTTGACACTGTTAAGACGTAATCTAAATATATTTCACTGACTTACCAAGTTCAGCAAAAGACCATCTAGAATATCTCTAATAACGTCGTCTATCACTTCAAAACTTTCATCGGTTATATATTTAAGGCAAAGCCTACAAGAAGTTTTCTTAATATCACTCATTGCTCTGCAACAATCTTATTTTGAGTATAAAAATTACTCAGAGACAAAATTATAATGCCGTCACTTCTAACAGTTCTAACCTTCTTGGTTTCAAATGACAGCACAGAGCATGGACACTAGAGCTGTAAGAAATCGTTACTATTCGTTATTCGAGTACTCGTTACTCGACACGATCCGAAGTAACGATTACTAAAAAAATTACGTTATCGTTACTTCACTACTCGAGTACTCGAATTTTGAAAGAGATGTAGTAGGAGTAGGTGTAGATCCGAATACCGAACCGCTATCGCCGAATCCACTGGTAAAAACAAAAACTGACCACTGCAACAAAAATGAACTCTGCTCCATCATTAGCGAGATCTTGAATTTAAAAATTGTACCGATTACTACAATATATCTAAACGTGAAATTCAAATATTGTAGAATGCTACACTACACCGAGTCTGAAAATTTCCTGTATATCACCGAAATACAAGCTGAAAATCAAATGATTTACTTTTGATAATTTAAACACTTTAATGCTGCGTAACATAAGTTTTTAAATCGAAATTTGTAGGTAGTAGGTACCGATTACCTAACCTGCATACAAGACAAGTAACTTCGGATCTCAAACCGTTATAATCCGACTGCTGCAGTACTCGTACTACCCGTACAGCACCTTTTGAACTTCGAGTACTCGAATAACTGATCCGAAGTAACGATTACTGTATGAAAAAGTAACGAGTAGTTACAGGTACCGAAAAGTAACTGAA